CCACAGGCACATTTCTGTTTATTGAATCAAAAAGAAGATCATTCAATCAGTTCCAACTGGCCCTTCTATAACCCAATTTCTCTCTTTGTCTCTTAGATTTCTTGGAAATATAATAAATTACAACATAACTCTGCAATACCCGCAGCCTCATATAAAAGCTAAGGGCTTAAAAAGTGGACAATTTTGCAATGGTTCTCTGGGTTGTCCTGCCAAAATCTGGAGCATCAGTCAGAACCAATAGAGCCCATTACCCCCTCACACACAGCCTCACTGGCTCCTAGGTTAATGCAAGCAACAAACTGGTAACTATAGCAACATTGGCAAGACTGTGTGTGTGTGTGTGTGTGTGTGAATGAATATGCTTTTTGCTTTGTATTCTTAATAAACATGGTGTATTGCCTTTTCCCTTAAAAAAATGTCATCTGCTGATAAGCATAAAAGCTTGAAATAGTATATGCAAACCATCCCAGGAGCGGTACTTCTCTAGAGCTGTTTACAGGGTCAGGGAGCTACTAATTTACCACCCTCCCCCCACTTCCTCCCACAAACATTGTTTCCCATTCCTTGGCAAGCTGTGTTAACCCTCCCCCCATGGAATAGAATACAAACCCTAGCCCACAGCATTCCACACAACAGTCATAAAGTTAACTACAATAATCTCAAGATAGTCCTGTGTTTTTTCTAGCTATTGCACAAGCATCAAGGTGATGCCACCATTCAACCTTCCCCTAGTACTAGAGTAGTCTTGAATGGTTCCTAGTGCAGAAAAGGTTAAGCACTACTGTTTTGTTCTACAGAACACTGTAGTGAAACACGTAGAATCATAGAATCATAGAATCATAGGACTGGAAGGGACCTCGAGAGGTCATCGAGTCCAGCCCCCCGCCCTCAAGGCAGGACCAAGCTCCGTCTACACCATCCCTGACAGATGTCTATCTAACCTGTTCTTAAATATCTCCAGAGAGGGAGATTCCACCACCTCCCTTGGCAATTTATTCCAATATTTGACCACCCTGACAGTTAGGAATTTTTTCCTAATGTCCAATCTAAACCTCCCCTGCTGCACTTTAAGCCCATTACTCCTTGTCCTGTCCTCAGTTACCAAGAGGAACAAATTTTCTCCTTCCTCCTTGTGACACCCTTTTAGATATTTGAAAACCGCTATCATGTCCCCCCTTAATCTTCTTTTTTCCAAACTAAACAAGCCCAGTTCATGAAGTCTGGCTCCAGCAACATGGTACATTGCACAATCAAAAAGCTATAATGTGTCAGATTTTATAACCAAGATTCCTACAAAAAATTAAACTTCTATGTAGTCTTTCAGGAGTATAGCCCTCTCCAGCAACATTGATACTTTAGTACGAATGGCTTTGTAGCCAGAGTGTTGTTTTCTGCAATCTTGTGGGAGCTCACATGTTAAGCAGGGTGAGGCCAAGAGTGTCCGTGTGCCACAGGAATTGGTGTTTGTGCCATAGCAGTCGTCATTCTTTCTTCTGTCTCAGCAGTGCTCCATCGGGATGCTAGGGGAGGAGATATGTGCAAATTCATTGGAGCTATTTTTCAGGTAATGTGAAAGAAAAACATCATGACTAAAAGTCTCACCACACTTTTTACAAAGGACATGGTGTTAGTCCCAGAGTCCTGGGCAAATTTCATTTCCTGTAATTATATTCCAAATTACTATTAGTCTACCTTAGAATACTTCAGGTATCATGTCATGTTTTTGTTTGTTTATATGCATATAAAATGTAGAAAGTAACTTTGCAGATAATAAATGACTCTTTTAGGATAAACCAGGACAGAGAGAACCAACCTCTACCCCACCAGTGACAACAAGCATTTTTCCCACAACCAATTATCTATTCATTCAGTTACATAGAACTTGTAAGACTATCTGTTATATGTCAGCCAGTGACTCCCAATGATATTCTCCATTTCCTACCCTGACATTCTGTGGTGTTTTGCTGCCCTTTTAAAGAGATGCTTGCATTTCTGTGGCAGGCACTTGTGTTAACAGTCGCCTGCAGTGCTGTGATCCCAAAGAAAGCTGATACACTTACATTTACATACTTTCATTCAATTGCATCTTAAAACATACATGAAAAAACCCTGTATGATGCACATAAGACAAACTCCCCCAGCAATGAAATGCAGCCAGCTCTGGAGTGAAAGGCAGCAGTTGTTAAATACCATACACAGAAATACTAAACAACAGTTTATAATAGGAAGTGCAAAGTATCATAGCTAACGTAAATAAAAAGGGGGAAGTTAGGTAGGCAGAGTACACTGTACTTCCCAGACTGGAATTTGGCCAAGCTGCTGGGTCTTTATTATAAAATAAAAGAGTTTTATGTTCTCCACATCCCTTTAAATTAAACTAACATTTAACAAAATTCAATTGCTATTTTAGGTGAAGAATACGAGACCTTGTGCACACAAAGCCGTTATATTTGGGAATACATCTTTGTCAACAGATGAATTATACACATTCTGCCCTTAATTTCTTGTCTTTTCTTTTTTTCCAAGCCGCGCCTTCTTGAAGGACCAAGGAAGCAGGGCAGCATAAATCAGCCTGTTCAGAGACAGGCTGAGTAATGATCACTCATGAAATATGAAATTCATCTCGCAGGTTTAATGTACTTATAATGAGTTTGGGAGAGAAGCGTGTTTTTGAAGGTCCTACAATTACAGTAGCAAAGGGATAGGATCCTTTAATCTCAGGATCTGATAAAAGATGATAGTATCTTCATTACCATTCCCTGTTTCAGCCTAATCGGTTGAATTAATGGCACTGAAGGCCAGGGAGTGCTTTCAAATGCTGCGGATAATGACTGTTATAATATTTTAATTCCTATCCCCTAGCTTTTCTAGTTTGAATAACTTTTTCTAAGGAGTCTGCTCAGTTAGGCTATGTCTACACTACAAAGATAAATTGGAAAAAGAAACACAATTTGCGCTACACAAATTGCATATCTTTTTCCGATTTACTTCCGAAATAGGTTTTTCCAACATTTGGCCCATCTATACGGGGACAAATTTATGTAAAAAAATCCTCTTTTGGAACATCCCTTCTTCCTCCTAAAACTAGGTTTACAGGGATGCCGAAAAAACGCATCCGCTTTTCCGACATTTTTTTCAGAAAAGCGGACAAGTTCCTTGGACGCGGCGGAACTTTTCCAAGATCCCTCCAAGATCCCGGAAAAGCTCTGCAGTCTAGACATAGTCTTAGATGGCGCCAAGTTGTGCCCCTAGTTATTATAACCATTAAAGTGGGAACATACAGTTCAGAATCAACTTGCGAAAACAGCCCATTCCTTCCTATGGCAAGCACTTTCCTTGGCCGGACTTTTTGCTGAAACTCTTTTGCTATCTCAGTGTAGTTGAATGAGGTTGCTCCTTTTTTCAGCCCAGCTTTCCCTTCTCCTTTTTCTTGTGCTGACATTAGGAGCCAGTTTGGGTGTCCTAATTACGCACCAGACATGAATTGGATGGATGCAGACACCTTCATGCTCTGGATTCAGAGGCACAACCAAACTTAGAGCTCAGCTCTGTTTCTAATAGCATGAGCTACCAGACTATTAAAGCACTTTGCATCACTCCATTGCCACCCTCTTCTCTACTGTAGCAGATAAACTACTTTTCTTCACTTTCAAGGCCCTTCACAACTTATCCCCACCCTACCAATCATGTCTCATTCATAACGAAAGAGCAATCCTCCACCAGCTGGTCCCTGACGCCAGTCTCCACCGCCCTTTGGCGACATTTTCAAACAAGCAGCTTTGTGCTTTCTCCCATCCAGCCCCCCAAGTTTAGCAGGAGCTCTCCATAAATACCCACAAAACTAATTCATTGGCCTCCTTCGAAACCCTCCTCTGCCAGGATCCCTACAACATCTTGACAACAGTTCAGCTGCTGGTGTGTAGAGCCCACAGACTAGCACATGGACCAGAACTGTCTCATGGGATGCTCCCAACACTGGCCCAAGGGCATAAGTACCCAAAGGCAAACTCGTCAAGCATGCTAACCAGGGCCGGCCCTACCATGAGGCGAACTGAGGTGCCAGACTGTGTGTGTGTGTGTGGGGGGGGGGGGGGGGGGTGCCACTAGGACCCAAAGTATAGAAAATTGTGCATATGTATTCTCTCTGCTGCTGGTGCATATGTATTCTCTCTGCTCTAGATGCCCAGCGATGGTGGAGTGCTGTGCTGGAGGAAGGAGGGCACAAGAGACCTTTCAAAGTTTTGGCCCAAGCGAGGGGACATGAGGGCGTCATTTGAGCTCCCCGCCTCAGGTGCCAAAATATTGTGGGCTGGCCCTGATGCTAACACAGAGATTTCCCTTGCATTCTTTGTCTCACCAGGCCAATGAGCCAACCTTTCTGATAAATGATTCCTCTTCCCAAAAATTAAAGCAATATTCACCTTACTTCCAGTCCCAAGGGACCAGTTGCATAATAAACTATATGAAGCTTTATTAAATAGGGAAGGGAAACTAAAAAAACTACTTACAAAGTGAATATAGACACATGAATGTCTACAATCTTAGTCATTAAAAGATAATATAGGCTTCCCTGAATAGCAAGCTTCTTTGTCCTTTAGGGCTCACACACTCTAAGCAACTGGCGATCTTTTGTTTAGGCCTCGGAAACTCCTTGAAAGCCATCCCGCTGATTAACAGGGTGTCCACAGCTAGTTTTTGTTTCTATTGGTGCTGCACAAGCCTCAGTGCACATAAGAAAGTATTCCACACATGGATGGAAAAAATCCATACTTGGATTGAAAAGTTTAGAGGGAACATTGATGACAACATGGGACATCAGATTATGAAGTAGCCAAGGGGAGTTAGATATTCTCCATTGCAGAACTGGGACGAAGTCTGTGTGGCAGACGGATCCCTGCTGCCTTATTGGTAAATATAGTAACCACCGACAGGGTCCTGAGCAGGGATCCAGAAGAGTAAGGAAGGCTCGGGTTCCTCTAAATTGACCACCACCTACCCCAGCCACCACCTACCCCTGGGTGGAAGCCCACTTCTCCCACAGCCACTGGGCCAGATAACCCTGAATAGGAGGGCAGCTATATGGGCTCTGGTTATTAGGCTATACATACCTGAACAGGAAGGAGGTCATGTTGATTCTTGCCACTTGGCCATGCAGCCCTGAATAGGAAGGCAGCTCTTTTGACTCGGGCCATTAAGCCACTCTGCCCTGAGGATATGAGTGGCTATTTGAACATGGCCATGGAGCTATAACACCCCTTACCCCTCCTCACAACACAAAGAGGTCTCAGTCCACGACTGGGATTTCTAGAAGCTCCAGTACTACAAATAATAATTGGGAAGGACCTTGAAAGTGAAGACAAGCAGCTTATGTTTGATGCAATGGATGCAGTAGCTCAGAAGGCAGTGCCCCCTACAGCTCCCAGCTGTTCCTCCTGCCTCTGCCTCTCCCTGCCTGGTGCCACTCACCGGCACAGCTGTCCGGCAAGGAGGGTGCCCAGCGAGACCATCTGACTGAGCACACATACCTCTGGAGGCAGGATTGTCTTTGTCCAGACCAGAGACAAGGACGCTGCAGTAACAGAGATACGATTATGGGAGCCTGGATGTGGGTTTTAGCTGTGTGGATGGGCAGGACAGACCATATCTTGAAGATGTTAGGCACAAATAAACTGCAAGGTTTAGATGGAGCTTCGAAGTGAGGCACTAAAGAAAAGGCAGCGTAAAGATGATGCCTAGATTCTGAGCCAGGGACATGGTGCAGGCTTCCGGGTAACTCCGTAAGGAGCAGGTCTTGGGGAAATGACTGAAACCTCTGATTTGGCCAAGGTGAGGTTAAGGTGGTGGCTGGACACCCACAAGGCAGCAGAGACAGGAGATTTTAATTTGGAGGAAAGATGGGAGCTCGCCCTTCTGTGCAGCTTTTAAAACGCCAGCATAAGTGGCTCACTCAGGGGCACGCAAAGCCTGAGACAGAGCAGGGAATTTATCTCCTAGCACCTCAACAGCTGACCAGCCTTCTCCCCTTTTGGGTTAGATTATATGCTAAGCACAAACCTGCTTATCCACAGGTTCCCTGGGGCATGTAAAACCTGCCACTAAGTGTGATTTCAGGTAGTGGGATGTCTGGTTGGAAGGTTTGAAATGTGCATGCTCCGTAGCCCCAGTGCAAAAGAGCAAGGCCCAGATGGTTTCCCTAGACCAACAGGGAAAAAGCTATAATTCAATCTGGGTCATATCAGTATAGGAATAATCCGGTGATGCACTATGAATGTGTCAGTTACAGCACAGAGGGACCCCACAGTAAAGTCCTGATCAGGCCCCAAACTTTCCCTCAGTTTAGTGCTGGATTTTCAGTTCAGTTTCATCTATGTAAACGCACCGACAACAGCAAGACTCTAAAATAAACATTTTTTACATGTTTTTTGGACTCCTCTGTTTCCTCTCGTCACACAATAAAAGCATCCTTTTCTCAGAAAAAGAATGTTTCTGTTTCCTTGTCAGGAGTTCTAAAGAACTGGAA